CCAATTTTGTATTGGTTCAAAATTGGTTATGCTACGTGACTTTTTCTGCACCGGATCAAAATTCCGGATATTTATGAACCAGGTCCATCTAAACCTCTCCAGTCCGTTGAAATGGCTCCAGATCAAATTGCTGAGCGATTTGATTGCAAAAAAATGAGATACGACCATTCGTGTGATTGATACATCTTGAAGTACGCCTCTAAACTCGAAGCTGAACAAAAGACAAACCTCGCGCCCGACTAAGAAGTAAAAGCAGCTTTTCCGAAGCTGTGGAAGAGAAAGGAAGCTCGAATGACTGTTACTGTTTGGAAGCGATTAGTTGGGTTTTTTTCTTTTCACTTTCTCTTCCAGGATAGTCTTTGAGACTGTCGGACGACACAATAATAAGGTAGACTTGAATAAAACGCGACACGAGCAAGATCATAATCGGGCACCTAATAAGGCGATTGCCCACAGTCACACCACTTACAGTCACACCCCTACAATCACTGATTTTTGCGGAACGGGAATCTTGAGTCACATTATAATTACTAATTGTTACTATCACACTTGTTGAGAGGTCAAAAAGGCTTTTTTGTCCCCTTTACAGTCACTTCACGTGACTTAAATTTTGTGTTTACCACATTATTTTTGTTGCAATACATCGTAACTCAACGCTTTGATTGTTAAACTTGCTATGCTCGCAGCAGCAACAAAAAAAAAGATCTCGCCCACAAACATTCGTAAAGAAATCTGTGATTATGCACAGAAATTTTCTAATTAAAAACACCAATCCATTGCCGATTCTTCAATGATCAATATTCAACTCTTAGTATTGACAGGTCCACAATTTCGAAAATTGATATAATAAATTAATATAATAATGAAATGCTTTTGCTTCATTCATTTACATCACTATGAGTTCTTCACACTAGCAATAATAATAAACAGTAAGCAGATTAATATAGTAAATAAATACACGTAAAGTCCATGTACACAATAAAATCACATTCATCTCCCCAACGCCTTCCAATTTGCGAGAATCACATGACAAAAATAACATTTATTATTGTAAATAGTTCAATAATTCTGGATACTTTCTAATCGTATTATATTGTTGTTTTGATCGTATGGTTACAGTACTCTGGTTGTTGATTCTAATAGATTTTCAGGGATTTGGTTTATAAAAACTTCGGGTCATACTGATACAGTATGCATGTTCAGAACAATAAGAAATTGTATTGGATAATGTTACCGATCTTAAATTTTCACGTGGGCCGGTTTATCGAGATGCTAGAATTTACATAGTTTGGTCGGCCTATCGAGAATTGTTAACTAGTGAAAAAAAAATTTTTTGGCCGGCTTAAGCCAAACCCGTTTTTGCTTATCAAGACAGACTGTGTATTTGCAAATACGATACCTGATTGTTTTGTTGTTGCGGTCGTATTCATCATTTTATGACCAAATTGACCGTGTAATATATTTTAGTCAATTCTGCATGGCGTAAATCACGCAGGTGTGTGGTATCCGCTATCGTTCGTGGGAATATTCACCGCTACAAAGTCATTAGTGTGGTTTTGTTTAAATAAAGGAGTTGCCCCATCCATCCATTATATGTAAAACGATCATTTTGTCTGTTTTATGTCTCATTTATCGCTTAAGCCATAACTAACCAACATGTATAACAATCTAATTACAGTTAGATTGTACTCAACTACCTAAGCGGACTGTTCATACAGTATATTTGTCAAGACTCCTTTGTCAGGACTAGAAAGACTCTCCTGCACGAAAAGGATTATGAATTAATGTCACCAATGCTTTTGCTGTGATCAGACGATCGGTGAAACGAACTTGTCAGAAAATAGAATGCCTCATTCTCAATGCTCCGATGTTCTTTATTCTAAGATATTTGATTACTCAATAACACACAAATCTTAATGAATTAATTGATGAACGTAATGAGACTTAAGCACTGGAATAATTTATAAAAATTATTCAGTGTATTATTTGCATTGTTTTATAGCGTGGGGTAGTTTATGTGCTACTTATATTGCCTCATTCAGCCATCACACACATAATCACTCTTTATTCGACCTTTGTTAGAATAGCGAATTCTTCACGTGCACAGATTTACTAAACTAGTTACTATATACTGAATATTTTATGTGTAACCCATAATTTATGTGTACTATTGTAAGGGGCTGTGTAACTTGGTGACCATTAACAGACAGTGCAAAGCTTTAGCCTCTACTGATTGTGCAACCGCAAATCGGTTTCCAACTCCTGATGGATGTCTGTATCATATTATGTGCATCAAAGTGTTATTAATACGAAAATGCCAGATCATATAGATCTTTTGCATTGCGAAAAACTTTCTACATAATAAACTCTGAATTGCAATCTAAAACGGCTTTACTGATGCGTAAATTAAGTCTTTGAAGAGGAGATGTCAATTCTATAAAGCTAAAACATGTACAGATATGATGGTTACTGGTGGGTACCTTACGCTATCCTTTGATGCCGCTAATTTGGCTGTCGTGTTACAAGTAATAAAAATATACTTTTTAGCTAAAATAAAAACAATGATAGTTGATGGAAGCAAAGCTTTCAATTGCTACAAAACGAGCTTGCTTTCATCCGGCATAGTAGAATAGATTAGCTTCACATAAGCCCTTTCAAAACGGTAATCAATTTGAGATCGTTGTTGTAAGTACCAACCTTCTTTCAAGTCAAGAACTACTTCACACTGGTAGTTTTCCTTGGCCCTCCTTGTATTATTTATCGGATCAAATTTGTTATCCGCAAACGTTTGAGATATATCTATCAAAAACACTGAATTATCTTCTCATTTGGTAAATAAATGCATTTTTTGGTATGCGCGAAAAGCCTCTAGCGGGCACGATATTAATCATTTCGCATGGTTTCAGTCTTTTAGTACCCTATCAATACTCAAACATCGGGCTTTTGCTGAACAATGGCTTTCAATAAATAAACTTATAAATGTCATGTATCATCCTCAATATATCGCATTCTCTACAAAATTCAAAAAAGTGCCATGTGCCACATACGGCTGAATTGATTATGTCCTCTTCTCTCTATGTTCGAAAGTCAACTCACGTATCGTTGCGACCATATGCCAATTTTTTAGTCAACATTGGAACGAGAAACATGAGTCTTTGGATATCAACGAACTTTGTTGTACAACCACGTTGCTGCTCATAAGCTTGAACTATGTATCCACTTTACAACTTTGTCTTTGGCGGCGAGTAGTCAATTTTGTATATTCGCTATTGACCAAGTGTCTAATAATGCAATCTTATTACTTGTTGTTTTATTTGTTATGAATCGCCGCAGGTGGGGCATTTCACTTGACTGATCAATCACAGTGCTTTATATCTATTTTTGTACTTTGCTGGTTTATCGTTATTTTAATGACTGCTAAATTTTTATTAGTCCAGTTGCCAACATCGGTCAGCAATAGAGATATTAGTAATATTGACACGAGCGCGTAATTGCGTTACGTCTTGGCAAAAGGCTCTGACTCTGCACATGGTCGGCGCTTTGATGTCAGCAGTCGTTTGTTCATAATTCGACATTATTTCTCCAAAAACACACCTATTTGAGTGAATTGATTTCCCAATCATTTATTGTGTCCCCAGATGATAAATTCCCGATTCCTCAAATTTACTATATATTAACCCTGTATCCTATCTACACCCCTCACATTACATCCCCCCATATCCGATATCCACTGATATCCGTCATCAAATAGCGCCATGTCAACTAGGCAAGTCACCGGATTTATTTCCCCTCTTTTAATTACACATCGAGGAAAAAAAAATACGAACAGTTTATACAATAAAGCATAACAGATAATGAATATTTATCTTACAACACACTTCCAGGCTCGACCGTCTGGTTCTACTGCTCGATACAGGATCCACATCCGCCGTTAGAGCTACTGCGGCACAACAATTGGGTGAAATACAGAAGCAGCATCCTGGAGAATTATATAATTTATTACAGAGGGTACTGTATTAATGATAAGAAGCGTCTGATCTATTTTGTAGAGAAGGAAACTATTTAATTCGTGCTTTTGAGCATACTTACTTAATACCATTTATTCGTCTACTAGGTCGTCGTGCATCTTCGAAATGACCAGTGGGAGACACGACTGGCTGCTGGGCAGGCTATAGAGGCTATTGCGAGCAACGTCCCACAGTGGGATCCACAAGAACGTACGAACAGTCTTCTACGCTTGTTTTATGTTCTAATGACTCTGTGCATTTATTAAGACGTGTGTTTCTACTACGGGTTATAGCCGCTCAATCAGAAAGAACGTCCATCGGATATGATGATTCATATGAAAATAAACTTACTTTCGAGAGCTTTAATATTACCAGTGTGTTGCTGAATGGAAGGCCCTTATTGGGATCTGCCGGGAAGGTAATTTGGAGATCAACTGTCACATTCTCGTGGCTTGAAAGCATCTAATTGTATTATTATCATATAATTATAGGAATATGATTTAGATCTAAACGATCTCAGTCCCACAGAGCGACTGGCTCTACAGCGAAAAAACTTAAAGCAGAGATTAGGATTAGGCAGTCAATTTATGGATGGTAACGCAATTTTTTGATTATAATATTGGTAAAATTGACCGCGTTGACCGTTTTTGTACTGATCGATCTGTTGCAAACAACTATTGAGCAGAGCTATTGGATGACGCGGATATAAACGCTGAAGTATTGTCATCACCAACAACGTTTGGTACCACCCCTACGGCAATGACAACGCCAATGTCTACGACACCGAGCACAATGATTACATCACCCATAAAGCAAGAGTCAACTACACCTCCTCAACAACCTACGCCGTCTATATTACCAGAACCCGACTTGTCAGGATTGAGTGCGCGAGAGCGGAACAGGCTAAAACGAAAAGCTAAGAAAGACGCGAAAGATAAGGGGAAAGAAAAGTATGTGGGACTATTGTGATTTGCAATGATTATTTAGAAATAGAGATAAATGACCCGTTAATTAATAGACTTATCGTCGAATATTTTAAGATGTTGTTTGTTAATCGTCAATATACCAATTGCTAAATGTATTATTCTCCTTCCTCAGAGTCCGAGTTTTAGATCTTGGAAGTTCGCGACGCACAGGAAATGAAACCAGTGGACCTCCTCAAACACCGGTTGGTCCAATAACATCACCGACAGCAGTCAAAGTGGAAGATGGTTGGTATAGACGTTACTCGGTCACAACGATATCGGTAGTTTATTTTTTTCCCCCACGTCAATGTTAACATATTCTTGATGTCTATGTATGTGATAGGACAATCAGAAGAATATTTCAACTTTACCCCACAACCATGTTCAAATAAAATAGTAGTAGAGGCGAAAAAAGATGGTTCCTCAGCCATTGGCGATGAGCAGAAAAATGAGTGGCCTTTTGAAAGTGTTTGTGAACTGCTTTGCCTTGATTTATTCGAGTGAGTATTGGAGTCAAAATCTTAGAGAACTCTTGGCCAATTAAATTACGACATTTATGTATTAAACAAACACGCTTTCTTTGTAGTTCGCGTTGGGAGATAAGGCATGGTGCTGCTATTGGTTTAAGAGAGATTCTTAAAGTCCACGGGTATGGAGCTGGACGCTTAAGTGAGTGTAAATTAAGACAACCGCGTACATTATAACTATGCCTGTATCCGGATTGCCTACTAACTGTATACAATCTTTGAATATATTAGTCGGCTTAACGAAGGAGGAAAACGAACAAAGACATAATAAATGGCTTAACGATATTGCAATACGCCTTTTATGTGTTTTTGCACTTGATCGATTTGGGGACTTTGTGTCTGACCAGGTACTTTATGCGCGTTATCTGTTGCCTTTGCTTTTCCGCTCCTATTTATTTAACGATGCCCTCTATTCTTTGAAGGTTGTTGCACCAGTCCGCGAAACATGCTCACAGACGATGGGAGCTCTGCTGCGATATATGTCACCTGAAGGTGTACAGAATGTCCACGCAGTATTACTAAAATTATTATATCAATCCGACTTTGGCGAATCACAATCAATATGGGAAGTCAGACATGCTGGAATGCTTGGACTGAAATATGCAGTAGCGGTGAGAAAAGATTTGGTTGAAATAATGCTGGACGGGACTGTTGGGGCTGTTATACTCGGGTATGTCTGATGAGCAAGGATAAGAATGCGTTGTGTTTGAACGTACCAGACATTGTCCTAGGAATGAAAGTATTAATACTGTATGTTTACGCGTTCGACCAGGTTACAAGACCGAGACGATGACGTGCGTGCAGTTGCGGCATCGATATTATTACCCATTGCCGAATCATTTGTACAGTTATCGCCCCACAATATTCCTCAAGTTGTCAGTGTGCTTTGGGACTGTCTGAAGGATTTAAAAGATGATTTAACTTCATCTACTGGTAATGTTATGGATCTATTAGGTAAGTCTACAGTTAAATATCAATTTGATTTTTCTGGAGAGGCGATCTAATAGTGTTCTCTTTTTTGTTTTAGCAAAACTCTTTTCTTTTCCATCGGTTTTGGAATACATGCGCACTGCGGCTGCGTCAAATCCAGCGTATGTTGTTTAATAATTTGTTTCGTTTTGCTACAGTGAAACAATCCTTTTCTGACGTATTTTTAATAAATTGTCAATGTTTATATACCTACAGGCAATCTCTGTCAACTTTGATACCACGTTTATATCCATTTTTCCGACACACGATAATGTCTGTCCGATCGGCTGTTCTCAATACCCTCTTAACTTTCCTCAGTATGCAAGATGTAGAAGAATGGGTTGATGATCGACTATTTAGACTTGCATTTCAGAACATGATTGTTGAAGAGAAACGAGTAAGTATACTTGTAATTAAAAAAACCCCCCCCAACAATTCGAAAATTTACCAACATTTTTTGCAGGGCATTCTCGAACTTTCCATCAAACTTTGGTCGTCCTTATTATCTCATGCATCCTTCAATCCAACAAGAATCACACACTTAACCGCGCCACACATTCACTCATGGTTCTCTATTGTAATGACACCACTTGGTACTCCGATTGATAGGCGATTGCTATTTACTCCAGATGGTCAGGCTCTTACTCAGAAAGCCGACGTAGTATCGACAGCGTCGCCCAGACGAGGACGCCGAGCACACGCAGGACAGCCAAATGAAAGTGATTCGGGTTTGGCGCATAATATTGATGTTGGGATGTTACAACAAGACTTTGCTCTAGTGTCTGTAGAGACTGTTATTAGAGGGCGTATTGCAGCGTCGAAGGCACTCGGAATGTTAATTAGTCGGTGGCCTAACGAGGTATGTACTTTGAACAAGATTATTGATGTCAATGGCAATTGTATTCAAGTATACTCGATAGCAATATCAAGAGTGACAATAATATTGAGGAAAGTTTCGTTGCAATTCCACAGGCTCTCGAAGATAGTTTCAAAGATTTTCTTCTCCCTCACCTCGCATCGGGTTGGGCCTCAAACAAACAATTCAGCGCTGTAGTTATTGAAGAGTGGGCGCGCGCCACCAATGATCAAGAGATATCCTCGCTTTCCATGTCTCACATCCCTGTGACACCTTTTGCTTCCATCCTTTCCAGTGCGCTAGTGGAAATGCTTGAGTCTGATCCTCCCAGTTTCTACCATGAGCTTGTAAGCATTCTCCGACGTATTCGAGGCGAGTGCCAAGCACTGCTAAACACGTTCATAAGTGAAGGTAGGGTTAGCAACCAGAATATACCCGCGCTTCCAACAAGTGTACTCGGCGAGCAGACTGTCGCAGACGCTTTGGTTTTCAGTATCGAAATGGCCAAACAGCTTACCACAGAGACTTTCGATACTTTAACGAGTTATGTTCCTCCTGCTATTCGTTCTGCTGTTTTACCGCAATTACAGGATCGGAAGCGTCGAGTATTGTCTTCTATAGGATATTATCAGTCAACTAAACAAAAAACAGATATAAATGTAAATGCAGCCTGTGCAGGCGCTGTAGTATCATTGCGCGTGCTTCCACCTAAGCTTAATCCTATAATAAGATCTATTATGAGCTCTATCAAGAACGAGGAGAATGCTGAGCTACAGGAGCGTTCCGCTGCGAGTCTTGCAAGTTTAGTTGCTCAATGTGCAATTGAACAGAACCCGTCTCGAATAAATCCGAATGATAAAATTGTTAAGAATCTCTGTACTTTTTTATGTTCCGATCAGACTACGACACCGGTATTGCAGTCTAATAAAAGTGAGGAAGGGATTTTGTCATTACAAAAAGCAAAAGAACCTGAAAAGAAGGTATCCAACGGCGCTGGAGGGGAGAGTGCGAAAAAACAAAAGATCAACGAAGATGAGATTAAGACTCAAAAGTTGATTAGGAGAGGAGCGGAAACTGCACTTAAACAATTTGCTCATTTGTTTGGATCGAGATTGTTTGATGTTGTGCCAAAACTATGGAGCTGTATGCATTTGGCATTGGATAATGTATTTGGATATGGTGAGCTTCTGACTGAATGAACAGGAGATGTGAGAGCATGTTTTGTTATTTTACTTACTTTATTTTATTCCCATAGATGAACAAGAAAAAATAGATATTGCGTTGCAAGCAGGTGAAAATACTGGCCAAGAAGTCATTGACTCTCTTCAAATTCTTCAATCTATTACGCCGGTTATTCACGAATCGCTACATTCGAAGGTATGGGATATCATGTGTTCTTTTCAGCATTATTTTTATTATATTTCTTATCAAAACGATTATATTTTTAGATCGCAGAATTGCTGCCTTGCCTCGTCAAAACTATTCAATGTAAATACTCAGTTATTCGACACGTGGCAGCGCGATGTTTTGCCACTATAGCAAATGTAATTACTATTCCCAGCATGCAGATTATCATCGAAGAAGTTCTACCATTCATGGGTGATTCACAGAGCGTTATCAACCGTCAAGGGGCAGCCGAGTTAATTTATCGTATCCTTTGATATTGTATAGATATCACTTTAGCGTTCTGAGCTTGTCAATTTGTTAATGTCATGTGTTTCCTTAACGTACGATTCCCATTATAGATCTCGTTCAAACAATGGATGCAAAAATATTACCATATGTCATCTTTTTGGTTGTTCCTATCTTGGGACGCATGAGTGATGCAGATGAAAGTGTACGATTAGTTACTACCAACTGCTTTGCCATGTTAATCAAACTAGTGCCATTGGAGGTTGGTGTAGTTATTGCATGGTGCTCGATATTTGACCGACTGTTAAGATACTAAGTAGTAATTTCATAGGCTGGCATACCTAACCCACCAGGATTATCGGATAAGCTTACTCAGCATCGCTACGGAGAACGTAAATTTCTTAGTCAATTGCTGGATAGCAATAGGCTTGATCCTTACGAGATACCCGTTACCATAAAGGCCGAGTTGAGAAAATATCAACAAGAAGGTGTTAATTGGCTAGCCTTCTTGAACAAATATCAGTTGCACGGTATTCTGTGCGATGGTGGGTACTATGCACATAAAATGTTATGGGAGTAAGGTGAATGTATTTCATTTACGACATTTATCCAACATGTTGTCCTCACAGATATGGGTCTTGGAAAGACATTACAATCAATCTGCATATTGGCCAGTGATCACCATGCACGCGCGGTGAAACACGAAGCCACTAAATCTCCAGATTGTTCTCCGATTCCGTCACTTGTTGTATGTCCACCAACTCTTACAGGACATTGGTATCATGAACTGTTAAATTACACAGACTGCTTGAAACCTCTTCTATACACAGGAGGGCCTAAAGAAAGAGAACGGTAAATTTTCTTTTAATGAACGTGAGCGGGTACTCGGCATTTTGTTTACAAATTAATTCTATTGATTAGAATTCGCCCCAAAATTATGAATCATGATGTTGTTATTATGTCTTATGACATCGTTCGCAACGATATTGATGAATTGGCAGATATCAATTGGAATTATTGTATTCTTGACGAAGGCCACATCATAAAGAATGGCAAAACCAAAATAACAAAGGCAGTTAAGGCCGTTAGGGCCAATCATCGCTTAATATTGTCCGGTACTCCTATTCAGGTTGGTGCTATTAACAGTTCGAAATGTAATTTATGAACAACTGGCTTATTAGGCTTATCTTTTTTATAGAATAATGTACTTGAACTATGGTCATTGTTTGACTTTTTGATGCCTGGCTTTCTGGGCACAGAGAAACAATTCAATGAACGTTTTGGAAAACCAATACTAGCTAGTAGAGACAGCAAGAGCTCATCAAAGGAACAGGAAGCAGGTACAGTTGCAGTCATAACGTGAAGACTTATTGCTGAATTTGATAGGGACAGAAATAAATACGATTTTGCCTTTCTTGGTTATTAAAGGTGCGTTGGCGCTTGAGGCCTTGCATAAACAAGTCTTACCATTTCTCCTAAGACGTCTGAAAGAAGATGTACTGAACGATCTGCCTCCAAAGATAATACAAGACTATTATTGCGAGCTGAGCGACTTACAGGTACCATCTTTAAACGTTTATACGTCTCGATATCGCCGATGGGTCTAATGAGCTACATTACAATTTACAGAAACAATTATACGAGCAATTCGCCAAGTCACAAGCCAAGAGCTCTGTTGATACGGAACTGGATTCAGATAGCGAACCGCCATCGAAGGAAGGCGATAACAAAAAGGCTACACACATATTCCAAGCTTTGCAGTATCTCCGTAAACTATGCAATCATCCATTACTAGTTGTCAATGAAAAGCATCCTCAATATGAATCTGTTATGGAGAAGCTGAAGCAACGCAAGTCTACACTGCACGACTTGCAAAATGCTCCGAAACTTTTAGCATTAAAGTAATTGATCATTTTTTTACTGCTTCATTGTTAATTTGACTATATATATTAATGTTATTCCTTATGTATATAGACAACTTCTTCTTGACTGTGGAATAGGGGTAACAACAGACGCCGAATGCGATCCCGTAGGCGCGGGGGCAGTAAGCCAGCATCGGGCACTCATTTTTTGTCAGTTGAAAACAATGCTCGATATAATAGAAAAAGATCTTCTCAAGCCTTTTATGCCTTCTGTCACCTATATGCGTCTTGATGGCTCAATTGATGCCACTAAGCGCCATGGGATAGTACAAAAGTTTAATCAAGATCCCTCTATTGATGTCTTACTTTTGACTACGCACGTCGGTGGATTGGGTCTCAATCTGACGGGAGCAGATACGGTTATTTTTGTTGAACACGATTGGAATCCAATGAAAGATTTGCAGGCCATGGACCGTGCTCATCGCATTGGCCAAAAGAAGGTTGTTAATGTTTATCGATTGATTACTAGAGGAACCTTGGAAGAGAAAATAATGGGGTATGTATGAAGAGATGTTATTATTCTGAAATTTGCATTTATTACATTAAGTGAGCAGATTTATCTCTAATGCAATCTCTGCCTTATTTGAAGCCTGCAAAAGTTCAAACTCAATATAGCAAATTCGGTGGTTAATCAGCAAAATTCTGGATTACAAAGCATGGACACTGAACAAATTCTTGATCTCTTCAATGTAACGCCCAACAAGTCCGAGAAGGGAGCCGGAAGTTCTAGCAATAGTGGTGGGTTTGGGAAAGGCAAGAAAGTTTCGACAAAGACTGTGCTTGAAGGTCTAGAAAATCTGTGGGAGGATACACAATATGAAGATCTTAATTTAGACAATTTCATGGACTCATTAAATTCTGAACGGTAGATTACGAGATTATATTTAATCTTGCCCAAGAGCTATGTAGGTTAATAGTGTAGATAGGCTAACGCTAACAATTTCAAATTTTTTGAACGGAAATAAAAGACTATTATTAAATGTCGCTTTTAAACATTTGCCAAACAGGATTGATTAACTATTCTATCGAGGTGCAAATTTCCCAGTGTCATTGGTACTCGTTTAGCAAGTTACACAAACACCATTTTCATTTTGGTAAATCTAACCTTAACGTTAATTTTGTGACCATTGTTCAGAATATTACATACCGACAATTGATAAAATTTCGTTTACCCTATTACTATTACTATTATTACGTTCCTCACGTGAGGCGGACTCGATTTATCTTCCTCCGATTCATATGGCCAAAGCTCTATAGAATCATTCTCGATAAAAGTGATTAGAGAATCTCACCAGGTATGATTTGAACATATACGCTTAATGCGCAAAGAATCTTCAGCTTTATGACTCCCTGCTAATCGGAAACAATGGATATTCTTATTTACTTTATCGTCGATAAAAGGATGCATTCTTTGTGGAACAAGTTCTAAAATTCGAGCCGTAAATTTCCGAGCCTTGTACGAATAATCCTCTCGCAGTCAGATTAGGTTGGAAATTGGATTAGGGTTCGATCTTGCCCCAGTATTATATAAGCTCATAAAGCAATCAAATTTACGTGTAATATACAGAGCAATCTTTTTTTCTCTCTCTCTCTCTTTTTTTTCTTTTTTCTTTTTCTTTCTTTTCAGTATGCATACTTTAGTGGGAATATGATCACAAAGATAAAAAAGCATATAATTTTAAACAGACATGGCTCATTAATCAGGTGTTTTACTCACAATCTATAACTGCAGAATGATGGAGCTTAACAAGATATATAAGTTTACAATTGTTGTTGTCATATTGTTGTCAAAGAGAAAATTCATGTCAACATCAAAACAAATAATAAAATTTACGATAAACACGACGTGATTTCCGACGAGTTACACCAACATTTCCAGCCGCAGCTCAATATTTGTAGGCCAAATAATGAAACAGATCTCGATATATCGGGTCAGTTACGCTGGAAAAGAAACAGATTTCACCCGATGCGGACGGATTTGTTTCTTTTAATTTAATCCAACCCCTTTATTGCGTAGTCGACTCGTCCCGTTGATTCTTCACCAGAAATATCCTTTTGCAGTACTATAAAAATATCTTGGGTGGTGACTCGTTTAGAAATATCAATTGACGCATGTAAAATTGCCGAAATAAATTCGCATCTCGTTGCTTCGTTGGCGTCCGTCATAGTCTCTACGTTCGAATGCTTTTTCATTATCGTCTATTTCCTCGAACACTAGAAAAAAAATTTATATGATTAAAATTTCGATGACAGCCGTCGCTAAAAAAAACCAAGAAAATAATGTATCACTTACCGGGTGTGAACTGTTTGATATTCGTTATATCTTCCCCATTAACCTTATTCTTACGTAGCATTTCTTTCAGGTCATCCAGAGTTTTATACGACGAATAACTTCTTAGTTTTTGTCCGAGATCCTCGATAAATTTTGCGAGTATTTTTGCAGGCCCCAACGCAAATCCAATATCACGAAACTCTTCCTTAATCATATCCAGAAATGCGGAACCAGTAATCTCTTTTCGAAAAATCTTGAAATGCGACTCTTTAAGCTTCAAGTTCTTCTTCCGCAGGTATTCGATTAGTTCCTCCGTATCAAAATCATTAACAACATCTGCCATCGTGCGAGTTGACCTTTCTTCCGTCGAAGTAGAGGATGTAGAAGCGGGTGAGGAAGGTGGAGAAGCGCTAGGTGAAGACATGTATCGTTTTATATATCGATATGTATGTCTGGTTTTATGTACAGTGCAAAATTTTTATTTTTGGAAATGATCAGGAGACAGTTACGCAAATAGGAATATGATACACTCTTGATTGTTAACAGCTCAAACTGGGCTTTAGCGAGCACCTTGTTGTGAATAAAAGTCCCTCGCGATAGAAGTTGTTAAAATTATATCAAAGTAGGCTTCTTGAATCGGCGCGCAACATGAGTCGTGCGCGAAATCAATTTTCGTCATCAATCATCAGACGGTTGGGTCAACTCTTCATATAAATGGCAGCTTTATTAAGATCTGCTTTTTGAACTTTCATATCGATTCTGATTGTGATGATTAACAACGAAAATTGATTTTGCGTCTTCGAAAAACTAAGCCAATCGGTATTAGTATAGTCAAATTCAGATCGTCTTAATGTTCTTTGTCAATTTTTTGCACATACATTGGCAGTTACGCTTAACAAACGTGTAAATTATATGCGCATTGAATTCTCAGTTGTTGAGTTAGTGATTATCGACGATGAAAATTGATTTCGCGTATTTGAAGAATCAGACGAATCGGTATAGTCAAATTCAGATCATACTTAATATTCTGTATCAATTTTCTGCACACACATTGACGATTGTCATCATTAACAGGTATGTGAATTTCATAAGCATCAGATTCTTAGCTGTTGAGTTACTGATTATCGACGATGAAAATTGATTTCGCGTATTTGAAGAATTAAACAAATTGGTATAGTCATATTAAAATAGTACTTAATATTCTGTATCAATTTTCTGTACACACATTGATGACTGTAATCATTAACAGATATGTGAGTTTTATAAGCATCTGATTCTTTGTCGAGTTAGTGATTATCGATGACGAAAATTGATTTCGCGTATTCGAAGAATCAAACTAGCCGTTTATGCACATTCAAATCTGTAGGAATTTCGAGCGGTGTGTGGCTCTCCTATTTTTAGTCAAATAAAACTGGCAGCCCTTTTCCTACTCACGACTTTAGTGTCGACGTGTAGTATGCCTCGGTTCTCTACCGTTGGGATTAATCCGGTAGCCTAGCCGATTGGGGTATAACTGTATTTATGCATTTAGAGTAAACAATTAATTATCGTATTGCCACGGGGGCAAGTAGCGATTACTTTTTCCTCTATAGGTTCAGCGGCTATATCAAACAGTTTCAGGGATGAAATATCAAACGTGTATTCTCAGAGTAATAGTTTGTTTATTAACAATATTTATATGAAATAAGGGAATCGAAAGGAATTTGATTGCTTCGAACATACCAAAACTAGCTGAATCTACGCATTTTTTGAACAGACTAGGCTAATCTATTTTTAGCAACGTGATCGACTATTTTTAGAATCAGTATATACTGTGTTACTATTTGATACTGCTATGCTGCTCCTGCTTGCTCCTGCTGCTCCTGCTGCTCCTGGCGCTTGGTGTCACCGCCCGATCAAATATGTACAAGTACTAGCACGCGAGCAAATTGTTACAAGTGTAGCGCAATAATACTTAGAGTAAAGTCGGCTCTTATTTTGTGAGCTAATAATCAGTGAATCCACCATTTCTCGCCAGTTGCTTTTTACTGCTCGGATTGATTGTTTAAATAACCAATTATCAAAATACATGATTGTTTTTAACACTGTACTAAATAAATAAAAATATGGAATTCATTAAATATACGCCAACATTTTTGAGGAAAAGGATGTTTACTTGAAAATGCGAAATTAAGTCAAACATCATTGAACCACGATTTTACTTAAGAATGTGCATAGTATTTTTAGTTAGTAGGTTGTGCTTTGTATCTAGTACTGTTTGTCATTATCCAGTTTAAATATCTCTTATGTCTACGTTTCAAGAATCAACTTCTAAACACTAATGCGACTGTTTAATAGAATTGTTACAGACGTACATAATATACTTACAAAGTGTCCATGATTCTCGCTTGAAACATCTCGACGAGCTCGTCCATTAGGATAACAAGCTAGCGGTGAGATTATCGATGAACGTCGCTAAATTCCGTTTGAAAATTGGATTGAATAAACTTAAAAGTTATAAGCTGGAAAATGTTTCAATCTCTATTTAGATCTATTTTAGCTATTCTTTCAGCCATTTCCTATTGAGTGTGAAAAGAATCGGTGGTAATTTTAGCAATTTGTTGTTGAAGGTTTTGTTTACATTGTTGTAAAATTAATATTTAATATAACACATTTATCATTGATTACTTTATATGGTCACCATTACCAATCACACCGGGATTGGTGCGCTATGAAACTGCGCCCGAACAAGCGAAACGCCGAATGCTTGTTTTATTTCCCTGAAGTGATTGGTCCGTCCCTTTCATCCTCAAATTTGGCGACACACAAACATTTCGGGATTCACGCCATGGTCTTCACTTACCAAAAATATCCTTAGTTGTTCAATTAATTAAATGCGAGGATACCAAAAGTATGAGGGGACGATTAAAATAATTTCCGATCAGTTTACTTGTACGTTGAATCATTCTAATTCAGTTAGCGCGTTAGTAAGAAACAATGGTTATGTACAATTAAATAAACTTTACCATAATTCTTAACTTATATAGAATTTATCCATATTAATATCGCAGAATAGAAATTAAGAGTTGAATATTGAACTTTAGAAAGAGATATGTGTTTTGGTTAAATAAACTGTTTCAAAAGTCCGTGCAATCATAAATGTATTAGTATGTTTAATGCCCGATAAACCGTGAGCTCGATATACGCACTCTTTGAAAATTCGAATCCCTAACGCATTAGTATTAACAGTTTCGTTTTCTAAACAGTAACGAGGCATATTTTTGAAGCGCAACTCAAATATTGAATAATCGACAAGGAGCACCAGCAGACGCTTTGCTGATAAAGATCGTTTTACCTCTAGGACCACAATTTGTCATCATCAGTTGTTGGGAATTGCTTGCATTTATTTTGAAAGTATCATAACTATCAACTATCGACCAATCTTTGTTGAATCCAGGCAACAGAACAGTTGGTATAACAAGAAATAAGTGATCCGAGTCGAAATTAGATATTGCTATTATTGTACATTAGCAACAGTTTAAGTGCGCAGCCGATGTCGAAATACAGGTTTGTAAATTGTATATTCATGTGGTTTATATCCCTGGTTTGTTGCATGCATGTCCTCATTTGCTCAAGGTTCAAGTTTAAGCCGGATAACTTTGTTCACATTCAATTAATTTTAATTAATAAAATGTGTCCTTGAAGTTTTCGGAATTAGTTAGCTTGACAGAGAACAAATTGGACCTGCTGCGGTATCTGCCTGGTTTGGAACACAGGGGCAGACATGCATTACATGAAAGTCATGCCAATATGGAAATCAAACAGTGACAATGGGTGGCCCACCTGACTATTACAGAAAACAAGATTAAATTAATTAATCTGATGCGAATATAAATACTCTTCATCAGGAAACCTTAAATCAAAGATCATATTGTAACTTACTTGCGCACTAACCATAACTTCACTTCTATACCTATCCATAACAAAGTTCCTATCCTCTATAAGATGTTGTCAGTTTGTGCATTCTGCAAACGACAACCAGGTTTTATCGACCCGTATAGTGACATTCAGCATGAATTCTGCTCTGTCGCATGTCAGAAATTAGCCATACAACATCGTCTAGTCGAACCATGTGTTGTATGTAATAGTATGCCGCGGCTGCTCATGCCATTCGGACTGAGAATTCAATATTGTGGAAAACGATGTTGGGATAAAAAAGACAGCGCCATTGGGCATGGCGATTTAAAGGTTAAGAATAATGAAAACATCAATAAATCTAGACAACCAGGAGTAGTAGTTGCACAATATCCAACCAGTCCGCCGTCAAGAACAAACGTTGTACCTTCACAACAGCAACTATCTCCGCCCATACAACAAACAAATCGCTCACCATCTCCCAAGTATTCTGATCAACAAAATTACTATTCACAAACCAACAATTCATCCCCTGGTTTGGGTGCTACCAAAAGCCTTGATAATTTGAAAAACGGACTCAAATCCGCGGCGATTAATCAGATTAAGAAACTGGGCCCCAATGACGTCGACAATTTCGTTAATGGGTACTCTGGCAATAATACTGAGAACACAACTGAAGCCGGCGAGGCCAACACTACCGGGGGCATGATCAGCGGTTTCGTTGACGGATTTATTGGTAATAATAACACGGATGATGTTAGTCGATATGATGGATCCAACACGGAAAATGCACCATCAAGTGGAAACGCTGCTTTTGCAAATACTATCAGAACCATACTCCAGCCTCAGAATGGGGCCCAACAGGAAACGCGCCGAAATTCTAGTGATTATAGTTCATCGGACGATTCAGACTATGGAAGGGGAGGCAAGGTGTCTAAGAACAGAGCGAGAATAGATAACAACAATGCCGCCAACAATGACGGTGGGTTTTACGTGTCTACCCAACAACCTTACCAATCCATAACGCAACATGCCGTGGTATCACCAACTTCTCAACCCCAACGACACCCTCTCCCTCGTATTCCAAATTCCCAACCTCAACAACCTTACTCGCCTCGCACTCCAGTTTCTCAATCCCAACAACCCTACTCGCCTCGTACTCCAGTTTCTCAATCACAACAACCCTACTCACCTCGCACTCCAGTTTCTCAATCCCAACAACCCTACTTGCCTCGTACTCCAATTTCTCAATCACAACAACCTCGTACTCCAGTTTCTCAATCCCAACAACCCTACTCACCTCGTACTCCAGTTTCTCAATCTCAACAACCCTACTCGTCTCGTGCTCCGACACCTCAATCCCAACAATACCAACAATACCAACAATCTCAACAATCCCAACAATCTCAAAAATCCCAACAATTCCAACAATACCAACAATACCAACAATCTCAACAAACCCAACAATCCCAACAATCCCAACAATCCCAACAATCCCAACAATCTCAACAATCCCGACAATCCCAACAATCCCAACAATCCCAACAATCTCAACAATCCCAACAATCCCAACAATCTCAACAATCCCAACAATCTTATTCGCATCGCGTTCAAAATTCCCAGTCCCAACCCTACTTAAGGCAACCCACTTCACCCAACTATCAGCCACCTCAGTATCAAAACAATCCGTCATCAAGCCAGTCTGCAAATGGATCCGTTCCTCCTCAGCAGCCCATGCAAAGGGGTACAAACAATGTAGCTCAAAATCAAGTTGGACAGCCGCAAAGAGTTAATCATCAGCACGCGGCTAATGGTGGGAATAATAAAACGAATACTGGGGCAAATGTGTTAGCGGGAATACGTGGTTTTAACAATGCAGTGAATACTGTCAACAAAGTATTGAATACTGGCAATAATAATTCAGACGATAACGGAAATAACACAAATGATACTGATTCCACGTCCATACCTGCGTCCATAATAAATGGGAACTTTGACCCAGTACAACAAATTCAAAACGCCAACATGACATCAATAGTAGCAAGTTCTGGTAAAATGGCCATGAAGCTTTTTGGAAACAAGCTTGCGAAAAAGGCCGCAAAGAAAGCAGCTGAGAATACTAGGAAAGTTGATAGTGATAGTTTTCCCGCAACCGCCAATGAAGCTGGATATGAGTATGGAAATGCAAATCCAAATGCAAATCCAAATGTAAATCCAAATGTAAATCCAAATGCAAATCCAAATGTAAATCCAAATGCAAATCCAAATGGAACTAGAGGGAGACGTGTGGACATTTCTGCTGCCGCCGCTGCAACTAATGCCATCTACAATGAATACAGAAAGCAGGTCCAGAATTCTGAATTTGTTCCGTCTCAATTTTCTCAATCGGTGATTTCTCCCACATCTTCTGTGTCGGATGAAGGTTTCGTAGATGCGACAACTGAAAAGAATAGTATTGATTACAGCGCTGTTGCTAATGTATTAGGTCAGAATGCGTCTGATACTTATAGACAAATATTCACATCAAATTAGAGATTGGACGCGCACAGATGATGGATGCGTTAGTGTATAAAAAAAAAAAGACATTTGAATTTCTTAGTACATCAAGCAGACAGTTAATAACAATTGTTTTATATAATAAATACAAATATATACTTATATGGTTTCCGATTAAGCTTTGGGGAATTTGACACAGATATAAGTTTACAAAGGCGATTCTGCAAGTTCATTGTGCAAATTTCTGGCGAACCTGTAGATGACCGCTTCCACTTTTAGACCACTCTTGAGCATCCACATGCAATTCGAAGTAAGCTTCTTCGAACTTTACCAGGTCGAGCTCGAAATATTCAAATTCATCCTTGGCACCAGTTGATTTCATTTGTATTAACATCTACTTCCACTTTGCTCTAACAATTTCTATAGAATATGTAGTTATCTAAAGCAACTCTTAATCTCTTACCTTTTTCGTTGAAGTTGCAACTTTGGTATCATCCTGACGATGTCTTGGATTTTCGTGGTGATTGAGGTTCTGGGTTGAGGAATCCCTGGTTATGCGTTGTCCAAGAACTGGTTGCCGACTTTCCTGCCCAACCATTATGGGTTAGAATTTTCATTATGAGCATCGAAAAATTCCAATTGCAGATCGCGAATTTAAAGTACTATTTATACAATGATTCGACCTGTGTCACATGCAGAAGTTTCTGATATCATTTTTAATTGTTCTTTTGTGAACATTCCTAATACTGAACAGCGTCGTTAAGTGCAGATAATGTAATTGTGAATGCACGACTATCTACTGTGGGATTACGTCAGTAGTCTATCCGTGTGGGGTCTCAAAACTAAGTATTATAAACGCGTTTCTAAAACGATTAAATTATCGTAATAAATGCCACTCGGATAATTGTGGGACAAGAGACAATTATCCTTCGATATAGAGATTATAATTGGCGAATTTTAAACTATACCTGCATAAGTAGATTATGTGGGGCATGCTGCAACAAAAACCAGACAAAGTGAACATTTTATTATGTGACATAAATGAGAAGCTGGGTTAACTAATTTGACTAATGATGTTTTGATTACTCGCAGCCATAACTTGTATGTACAGTGTCCAAAAAGTCACGGAGTAACACAATTTACGAATCATACCATGAAATCGTGCATATGCAAACGTAAAATTTTAGTAACATAACTGTATTTTATCCATTAATTAAACTTGTTCGCAGTATCGTTTTACACATATTTAGTACATTTGATAGATATTTTTTTCACCTTTCTTTACTAAAAGATCGTTAAGTCAGCGAAAGAGTTTCGCCGATTTTATTCTGGAATTTCAATTGACAAAAGCGCAAAATTCACATTGTTAACAGGAAAAGGTTCACTAAGAGATTGTATTCAGAATGATTTAAAATACATAGTAAATGTTTAACCTATCGATATTACACAAACAGCTGTGCTACCAAACCACGATAAGCTCTTTTGCATTTATAAACTTAACGATTTGTTTACTGATAATAGCAAAATGGCTTCTAGTTCGCTTACACTTTTTGAACATAGAGAAATAATTGGTGCTTGGAATTGTGGGCTAAGTGAAGCAGTAATTGCGGCACATATAAATAGAGCTCCGGCCACAATTCATAGAGTCATCATGGCATATCGTGACTGCCAACAAGAGAAACATCCTGCTCGAACAGGAAAAACTAAAAAGATCATGGCAAGAGATAGTCGGTCAATAAAGAGACTAGTCAAAAAAAGCAGGAAGACAAGCCTGAAGGAAATCAAAGAAGGCTTTACTGTTAAAAAAGTTAGTCAAACACATTATGTAGTCACCTTCATTTTCATGGTTGAGTTAGGAGTAAGAAAACCACTTGTGACTGAAAAGAATCGGACCACGAGATTGTGTTGGCCCAAGGAAATGTGATGATGAAGCAAGGAATGGGATTACATTATTTGGAGTGACGAATCAAAGTTGAACTTTTTAGAGGTGATGTTAGGAGGTGGGTATGGAGAAGGGATCGGATACGTGTGTTGATGCTCTCGACCAACACAGGTATAGCCTTCGGCTTTGTCGCTATCTATATTCCCCTATCTACACTACCCTATCAAAAGTATCCGGTCAAGCTTTTTTTGATTTTCTCAAGATCGGACATATCAATTAGCATATTT